ATATACAAAATAGGAAGTAAAGACGAATATTTACATAAATAAAATAGAATATATACAATCAAATAGGTAAAAATATATACATACCAATGTGAAAGTTACGAATATATACATACCAAAAGTAAAATAAAGAGAAGTAAAGATAAAGAAAAATGGTGTCATAGTTATTACATCAAAGTCATCAAAATAGACCCCCCCCCCCCCCCAAACTAAAACGATAGCATTGTCCTCAATGCTAATAGCAAAATAAGATCAGGGGAAGGGTTAGAGAGTAAAGAAAAACTCCCTATATGGTCTGCATCGGGTCCGGTACATAAGTGGGGACCTTGGACTGCATAGGATCAGCAGCTTCTTCCGAGTCCTCTAACTGGATCTCCAAATCTGACTGGGGGACCACGGGATTGCGGAGCATCTGGATCAACTCCGCAGCACTATGTGTAGCTGCAGCTGACTCATCAGACTGGCCAGCTGCTGGTGCCTGCTGATCTGCTGCATGTGCTGCTGGGACTTGCTCCTCCATGAGCAAATCCAGTGGAATATCACCAGCAGATGTGAACCTCTCTACGTCCTTCTTCAGCTGCTCTACCGATTCCTTTGAAGCTCGAATCTTCTTCATCTTCTTGACTTTCTTGCCCAGGTCCTTTATAGCCCTTCCATGAACATCCAAAGTATCCATGATCTTCTGATGGTTGTCCAGGAGCTTCTTCTGGTTGTCCAGAAGCTCCAAACGACTCCTCTACTGATGAAAGCACCTGGGGCTGTACCAGGGCTGACTGTGCTGCCACTACGCTGGATAAAACAGACAACTTTGATGTAGCTGCCTGCATCCAGTTGTTGATGCTGGACAAAGTCTGAGAAACCCGTAGTGCAATCTAAGGGTATGTAGAAGAAGATGTCACAGACAACGGCATTGTGATAGATGGCCAGGATGAAGGAGGAGGTATGGCAGAAAACCCCCTGCCGTGGAAGGCTCTGACCCGGTGGCTACTACCCTTGGCTCTTCAGACTGGCCAGAAGAGATAGCGGCTTTACCCTTTGCTTTAGGGTTGTCCAGTCCTTTGGTGTTGTACCAGGAGAAGGGCTTCTTTGGCTTTGTCTTAGTGTCATAAATCTTCTTCTCAACTCCTTGGTCCTCGAAGTACATGGTGAGGAAGTTGGGATAGGGATAAGACCTTTCTTCCTTTCCGATTGCCTTCGTGATGTGATAGTACATGAGGTTCCCCACATTAATAGGAAACCCCGCCATGATGGAGGCAATCAAGATACATCGGGTGAGGGGGAGGATGTTGTCATGCTGACATGGGTCCAACCGGCTGCATACAAATGTGGACCACCCCTTGGCTTCAAAGCTGAGAGTGTTCCTGGCTATTGGCACTCCAGCTATGAGCTATGTCGATGTCATCCCTAGAGCTAATATTTCTGCCGACCATGGACGGGCTGCTTCATCAAGTGCTAGCTTCTCCAAGTACTGCACTGCTTCCACATCTTCAAAACCAACATACTCATTCGAAGTGTGCCCATCAAACCGGATGTTCAAGATCCAGACCTTTGTCGTTGTGGTGCCCTTTTTGATGTGGGAAACGTTGGCACAGAATTCTTTGACAAGGTATTCATTGGCATCCGGAACCTTGCTGGTAAACCGTTTCCACCCTACTCTCTCCTCGAACTGCCTTTTTACATTTGAATTGTGGGGAAGGAGGTCTCTCTCTATGAATTTCCTCTCAAGGTTGAGTAACCTTTGGGGCCACCATTCTCGGAACTTGTGGTAGGCTAACTCACTCCCAAATCTGGTAGCCCACACCTCGGCTTTTCTGGATCTGTCCAACCTCCCGACATTGGTGTCACCCCCTCTACCGTCATCCGAGACCTCACCATCATCATCCACTGGTGAAGCCGAAGTTGTAGCTGGTGGGGAGGTTGGTGCTGAAGCCTCACTACCTTCTTCTAAACCATCAGACGACTCAGCAGGGGAGGTAGGAACATCTACCAATCGGAATTTCTCTGGGAAATCTGTGGGGACATGAGTGGGCATAGAGTCTCCTTCCGAAGCTTCCCGGGAAGGGACATACTCACTAGTATCTGAGTGGTCCGCTGCTCTATCCGCAGCTTTGATGGCAGCTCTCATCTTGCCAATTGATTTTTGGACTGCAAGGGGTGGTTTGGTCTTTCCTTTACCCCTGCCTCGGGAGGGTGCTGCCCTCCCTTTAGATGTATCGCTTCTACCTCTGGATCGGACCATTATCTGCAGCAAACAAGCAAAGAAAAACAATCAGAACAAAGCTTCAAGCATGTTAAAACAGTGCATTTGAAATGCAGAAACTGTTTCCCAGAACCAGGGACCGCGAACCGCGAAAAAGTGAACGCTGCCGCAAAGTGCCCATGGCGGACCGCGAAAAAGTAACCGCGGCCGCGAAGTGGTCGGGATCAGACTACTAACTCACTGAACTTGATCACCGCGGACCGCGAAAAATTAAACCCAGCCGCGAATGATCAACCGCGAACCACAGAAAAGTAGACGCGGCCGCGAAAGCTTTCATCAGACTTCTCTGAAGCTCAAGTGCACGGACAGCAAAATTTGGGACGCGGCCGCATAAATTCAAATGCGGATCGCGGAAAAGTCATCGCGTCCGAGAATATACATTCACACTTAGCTCCTACAAATTAGGGACCGCGGACCGCAAAAAAATGGACCGCGGACCGCAAAATTCAAATAGCCCGGGCACTGACGAACATTTGTAACCTAGGGTTTTCACTAAGTGCAAAAAATTTGTGCAATTACAAGCATAGTTAATAACCCTATCCTCCATTAGGCATGTAAAAATTACCCACATGAATTTAGGCATCAATTCGAGATGATGGCAAGTATTCAAACCCTAACTAAAGAGAAAAAAAAATAAAACTAAGAGAAAAGAAGAGGAAAAATATAAAAATAATTCAATGATTTTAGCATACCAGTTGAGAGATTAAGAGGAAATCGGACTCTTGATTAGTGAAATGAGATTTGGATCCAAATAGATGAAGGTGAACAATGCTCTATTTCGGTGGGAGTTTAGGGTGCGGAAAGTTTAAAAGGTCTTGGAACCCCCTATTTATACATAGAAGATGTGGAGCCCATGAACTTACCTGAACACGGCCGCGAAATTCTACTACGGTCCGCATTCTTTTACCTGATGAAGAACAACCTCAAGCAACTGGCCGCGGTCCGCGAAATTATGAACGCGGCCGCGAAATTCACCGCGAACCACCAAATTGTGAACGCAGACGCGAATTCAACTTCAGAGAGCTGGTATTTTGAGCTCTTCAAGTACGCGTCCGCGAACAAAAAGTGCCCCCGCGTACTGCTAATGCGGACCGCGAGATTTTGGCCGCAGTCCGCAAAATTCCCCATACTTAGGCAAATTTTTCCAGCCAAAGTCCTACACTGCACACACAATTCCTACACAAACTTCACAACCAGTTAGTCCAAAACAAAGCCTAAACTAAGAAGAAAATCAAAAAGAAAGAAAAACACATGGGTTGCCTCCCAAGAAGCGCCTGATTTAACGTCGCGGCACGATGCATGTTACCATCATTCACTTGAAATGGATCAATGTCACCACGTGGCTATCAATCAAACTTGCCAAGATAGTGCTTCACACGGTGCCCATTAACTCTGAAGATTTCACTATTTTTGTTTTTCAAATCAAGAGCACCAAACGGAGTTACATCCACCACTTCAAAAGGGCCGCTCCATTTTGACTTGAGCTTTCCCAGAAACAGTCGTAACTGAGAGTTGAATAGAAGAACCAAGTCACCCTCCTTGAATTCCTTGTTCCGGGCATATTTGTCATGTAAGTACTTCATCTTGTCCTTATACAAGGATGAGCTGGAATAATCATGAAACCAGAACTCATCAAGTTCATTTAGTTGCTCTACCCGGAGATTTACAGCTACATCCCATTCAAGGTTTAACTTCTTCAGCGCCCACATGGCCTTATGCTCTAATTCAACCGGAAGATGGCATGCTTTCCCAAGTACTCCCCGGCAACAGTGCCAAAAATTGATCGGTTCCAAGCCTGTACTACTATTGAGTAGCAAGGATGGTCGATGCAGTTTTACCCAACAAAGGTCGGGATCGAATCCACAGGGAGTTAGGTTTATATCCGAGTAGAGATGCAGGTTTTGCTCGAAATTGCACTTCCAAAAAAATGGTTGGTTATT